ACGAAAGTCATAAAAAAAAAAAAAAAAACCACAACAATTTTCACGTAGAATGCCCGTAACGTGCACATTTTTCTGTCGCACACTCACTTCTCACTGCGATTGTGCTTTCCTATACTCCTACTAGTTCCACCGACCCAATCCAGTTCTTCATTTGCATTGTCCCGCATCTCCAGTATCTCCCTATTTCACTTTAGGGATAGGATCATACATGTTCAAAAGTAGAGGTTAATTTTTTTCTTCAATCTGCCCATTGCCAACAACTCTTTCATGAATATCTTTGCATTCGGTGCAGCAGGACCAATTAAATTGTCTATTTTGAACACTAATTTCTCACTACAGACGTAGAGCGATCAACAAAATACTTTCCCTCGCGGATATTTTCGATCTCTTGTCCTTTTCTTATTATTGCTGGATTTACGTTTCTCTGTACTTCGACGATCGGAGACATCCATGCTGGTGAAAGAGATAAATAGAAGAAACAATGAAGCCACTATCAGCAAACCAGGTGTTCTTGCTGAAGAACCATTCACCTTAGCCAAGAAAGTGGCATTAACCTGGGCAACCATCGTGGCAAGAGTTTGATGAGGATGACGCCCTTGATAAGAAAAATCAAATCTGTGAAAACAATCAAGAGCAGTGTGACTGGTCTTGCCACATATTTGACAAGGAGGCCGAGCAGAGACATGTTCAGCAGCTGAATTAGTGGGAGCAGGTAATATGCCAGAGCCGAATGTGGGAGCCAGCGGTTTGGGAGAAGCTTTCACTGAAGGAACAGAACCATGAGAATAGTGAGGCTTTCGACGGGCCGCAAAGGCAAACGAGGAATCAGAAGAGATGGTCTTATGATAAGAGTGAAGAAGATACTCAAATGATAGCAACTCAGCTTGAAAATCTGTAAAAGACATTGGACGGTCTCTAGTGGCTAGAGTGATAGAGTTCTGAAATGGGAGATAGGGAGCATCCAATCCACTCAGAAGTGTGTAAACCAGTTCATCATCATCGAAAGGTTTACCAGCAGAAGCTAACTGATCAACAAGACACTTGGCCTGGGACAGATATTCAGAACAAGTTTTATTATCCTGTCGGAGGCTACGAAGTTGTCGTTGAAGAAGTGTCGTTCGAGACCTACTCTGTGAGGCATAACGCGAGGCAAGAGAGGTCCATGCTAGCTGGGCATTCTTTAGACCACAGACATGAGACAAAACTTTGGGCATCAGAGATGCGTTGATGAAGGAGAGGACAAATTGGTCCTTGCGATACCAAGTGGCATAGTTTGGATTGGGATTGCCAATGGTCTGGCCAGATTCAGAAGGAAGAAAGGGAGAAGGCTGAGCTTCAGATCCATCAGCGATGCCCATTAAGTCATTGCTTTTGAGAATAGGAGCAATTACAGAATACCATTGAGGGTAATTGTCACCGTCGAGACGAATAGTCATCAAATTTCCAATATTAGGAGCAACAAAGGGAGCAGCGGAAGGCTCAGAGGAGGTCATATTGGCAAAGATAATGTAGTAAAGGATCTAATAGCGTGTGCGTTACTGAAGCTCTGATACCATGAAAGAGATAAATAGAAGAGACAATGAAGTGAAATATTGATAGTTTTTTTCAAATAGATAGTTACATATATAAATAAATATATATATATATATATATACACACACGCATGAGGATAAGATAACACACTGTAACAAAGCTAAAACAGAATTTATCATAATTTCAAATCACTAGACTTTATCTTTGTTGTTGTTTGTTGGAGAGAAATTATGCTGAAAGTGAGGAACTGATGTGTCAGCACCAGCTGAGTCCAAAGGGAGTCTAACAGCTAGATCCAGCCTTGTCCGTTTTCTCGGCCTCATCGCTTGAGCTGCTGCTCTCTTCACAAACTGGATTTGAATAGCGTTGGTATTCGCACCTACTGTCTTCAAACATAGCGAATCTTGTTGTGCATAGCTTCATCGGTGTGATCACATACTTCTCGTTATCGAACACGTCCCAAACAGACCCTTGTAACTGTATATCTCCCTGCAGTCTTCATACATCTCAGTCATACATATAATGAGCTCACAATTCTTTAGTACACATTTCGTCTCGGCCATACACATAATGTGAAAAAGGATACATGTTGAAATTAATTTAACACTGAATAATAGTTTCAGTTCATGCACCCATTCATAAATTTCGTAAAACGGCTAGTAAGAAGTGGATGTGACCGAAAGCACACAACATAATGCATTTAAATTACGCAAAGAAGAAATGGAAAACCAACAACACGCAGATGAAAAATGTAGAGATCCAATCACAACCACTGGCATTTACAAAAATGGATGTAGCTAATCATGATTGCTCAAAGTACAATACAGAAATGGATGCAGATTCTCAATGGGTAGACAATCACATTCACAGGTACCATTACAAACCTAGGAAAAAAAATGCAAAGATCCAACCATCACTTTGGTTAATGATACGAATGCAATATGTGCTTGCTAGTATTCATTCTTGACATTGCGTGATCAAAAAATTGCAAAAGATGATTTGAAGCAGCAATATACTAGAACCTTTCACACCACCACTCGTCGGAGGTAATAATGCATCCTCATGCAGAGTTGTATTCAACATCAACGCAGTTTAGCAACTCTTGGAAACATTTATGCTTTCGCCAAAGAGCATGCCAATAATTCTTCAACTGCTGCTTGTTCCAAGCGTGATCGGAGTTGGTGTTTGATAAGTGTGTTTTTACACACTTATTTAACTCACAAACATGACTTAAATATGGACCAAATAGTTGAGTTGTGACTTAATCTCATTAAATTCATGCAATGTAGATGTTTCTATAGAAAAGATGGAATTTGGAAGAAAAGAACCGAAAATCACCAAAACGGAACAAAGTGATAGTTCGGGGACCAAATGTACAATTATTGGAAAGTTAAGCTAAAGTGCAGAACTAGAATGAAAATATACTAAGTATGAGATTGAGGACGATACAAGACGATCGGAGGAAGAAAGAAGTAACATTGGACTGAATTGAAGAAAAGTGAAAGATGAAGGACTAAATTGCAATTAATCAAAAGATGAGCCGAGCAAGTGATCAAGGCATTCATTGACCCAAACATCAATTACGAGTCAATATTTGACAATGAAACAAAGGAAAGAAAGAAAAGAGATCAAGTTCAGGGACCAAAACAGCAAGGTTGTAAAGTTACAACCATGCGGCCGCACATAAGGATGCAGGGATTTTATTGAGGTAGATCACTTGAACCATGCGATTGCATGGTTTAACACCATGCGGCCGCCTGGCTTTAAGAATCAAAGAAAATTCTGAACTTACGTTTTAATTGAAACTCTTTCGGGGCTCCGTGAGGATATGATATAAAAGTCAAAATTCATTAGAAATAGGGTAGAACGTCCAGGGAGAAGAAAAATATAACTTTTGGAGGCAAGAAACACGATCTTGAAGCCGATTCCACAAGAATTCAAGCAGGTTTTCAAGACTTTATTCAAGATTTCAAGAAATTTTCATATGGGTGCTATTCTTTCTATTTATTAATTTCGTTTTTCTGTAATTATGAATATTCTAGGCTAGGTTTTCAATTCACTAGGTGATCGATGAACCATTGTTTGTTATTTTAATTCCATATTTCATGAATTTAATATAAAGACTCGTTTGGATAATTTGATTGGTTTATATGCATTGATTTTCTTCCGCAATTAGTGGGCAATGATTGTGTAAGTGTTGATAACTTATTTCTTACATTCGAGAGAAGTGGAATAGGTTCGATAAGGTGTAAATCAACATAGGGCCCGATAGGGAATAGAGATATACCCCTATACTTTATGCAATTCTCTAATTGTTCACAAAACCACATGCATTTTTGTATATTTGCATCATCCATAGAGATATAGATTTGTGGTGTGCAAGAATAGGTCTAATATATATCGAGAGAATATATTAGATAAAATTAGGAACATTGAATTGACAAATTTCCATCGGGTCATTGATTTTATGAAATTAGGGTTTTCATAACTTCAATTGGGGATTCGTGATCCTAGTGATTTTATTTTGATTAATTTCCATAAATCAGCTTTTGAATTTGCATAATTTCATTTACTTGAATATTTGAGTCGTTTAATTAGAGAAATTTCGAAATTAGGGTTTCTAATTGAGAAATTAGAGTTTTCAATAGAAATTAGGGTTTTTAATTGAAATTAGGGCTTTTTGCATTTGGACCATATTTTCACTCAATTTGATTCGTTTAAGGCTAAATTATATAGAATTGAACTACTCAATCTCTGAGGGACGATATTTGGACTTTTAAAAATTCACTTTATTACTTATTACGATCCGTACACTTGCGGTAGTTTTAAATCGAAAGAATTATTTTGTGAACAGTGTTGAACAAGTGGACGAGTGTACTCCACCCGTGTTTTGTGAAGCACTTTCTAGTATGGTGACCATCCACTATGACGATCTCACTTGCTGCAATGAAGATTTGGATGTCGAGTGGAGTCTATTGAGCATTCTTCATGCTCGGCGCTTGGGGCTTGCTTCGAAGAGAGTTGGAGGTGGATGAATTATTGGAAAATCGTCTGCAACTACACACGAAAATGAGATACGTTAGAAATTGGAGAGTTAGAGCTCATGAATTATGCCCACACAAGCCGGGTGTAAAAGAAAGTATTTTCGACACATACCGAGGGGAATAAGAATCCATGGTGCGTGGGTACAGTTGAATGAGCACACACAAAATTTGACAACTGGTGTTCAGCAATCCCAGACAAAGGCTTTGTACAAGATTTAACGGTAAAAATGGATGAAAATTGTTAGGAGGGTAAATTCTGTAAAGTAATAGAAGGTTGGGGATGAAGGTGGATAAAATTAAGTGAAACTAAATTGCCACATAACGAAAAGGTTAGGGAGCCAAACTGAAATTTACCCTTAGAAAATTTGCCAGGAGAGCCCCACTCTTCCCTAAAACCCCTCTCCTTGTCTGTGTTTATATATTCATCCAAAACCCTAGCCTCTTTCAGCAGGGGGGAAAATAAATAAGAAAAGAAAAAGGGGAGAGCCCAACTGTCAATACACCGAGACGTTTTCAGGAAGCAATCAGAAATCTGTAATTCTTGTGCGTAAAAATGATTTGAAGAGCAAAAGCTGAAAATTATTTGAAGCACATTCAACCTCCTTGAGCAATTTGTTTACATGTAATTTTTGAGGTTAATCTTCTTTCTGTATATCAGGAGGCAGTGGTTGAGTAAGAATGATGTTACTGTTGTTTGAAACGCCGGCTGGTTTTGCCCTTTTCAAAGTACTGGATGAAGGCAAGCTCTCTAAAGTTGAGGTACTGATTTGTTCAAATTCTGGGTTTTTCTCTTTTCACTAATTTTGAATTTTTAGTTACTTGATGGAGGCAACCTTATTGCTTGCAGGACTTATGGAAGGAGTTTTCCACTGCTGACTCGGCTCGACAGGTTATTTCCTTGTTGCTCAATATTTTATGATGCCACCTCGCATATGCATGCATACTGAAACACATAAATGAAGAGAACTATTTTTTATGTGAATATTTGTTTATGATTGTTCACTTAACTTTTCTGAAAAACAATAGCAATTTTTGGACTGTAATGATTCAATACAGACAAAATCCTGTTTGGCTGATTTGTTAGTGTATTAATTTTTTGGAAACAATTCTAACACATTTCTACAGTTTACTAGCTATGAGAGAACTAACAACTAATTCATGGATATTTTTGTTGCCTTTCAATTGATGGATGCAATTAGTGACTGTTGTTATGCCAACAACAGGTTGTTAAGCTAAAAGCCTTTTCCAAGTTTGAGAACACTTCAGAGGCTCTATCAGCAGCTACCTTATTGATAGAAAGTAAGCCTAGCAAAGGTCTTCGCAAATTCTTGCGCTCCCATTGTGAAAGCGACATTTTAGCTGTAGCTGATTCAAAACTGGGGAATGCAATTAAGGAGAAGCTGGTGAGTTGTCACCATAGCCTATGAGCTGGTTACGTGATTGATCAGTTGTATTGCCTGCTCTGGTTTTTGCCATTTAAGTTAATGGTTTATTACTTGCAGCAAATTGAATGTGTTCACAACAATGCTGTCATGGAACTGATGAGAGGGGTCAGAAGTCGTTTGACTGAACTTGTATCTGGACTAGCTGCCCAAGATTTGGCTCCAATGAGTTTGGGTTTATCTCACAGCCTTTCAAGATACAAGTTAAAATTCAGCCCCGATAAGGTGAATCACTATATTCGGACCGTATGCTATAATGTAGATTGCTACAATCCCATAACTCAATTTTCACCTAGGGTGATTTAAGACATGTTATTGAAACTGTCTAGAGAACAATACTCTGTCTAGAGAATAAAACCTGACAATGCTTCACAGGATTTTCACATTAATCTGTTATATATTGGAATACAAAGATGTGGAGTTGTGGTACTTGGACTATTATAATTGACTACACGATACTTGTTGAGTTGGTAATATCTGTCAATAATATTCTCTTTTCTGATAACAATATATATTGCTATTGATCTTTAGGTAAACCTTGATCTTATAACCGTTTACTTTTCCTTAAGAAAAAATGAAGATAATGCCTTAACGAGAAACTTTTGGCAACTATGTTTTCAGTTTTAAGGAAAAAAAATTGTGAATTTTCTGATTTAAAAGAGGAAAGAATACTCAGTATTGTTCTCCAACTTTATAAAATATGTGATGTAAAGTTTGATGATATCATTGACCATCGGTATGTATTCCGCCAATGGGTCATTATGTGAAGTCATAATTGATCCCGCGGTTTCTTTCACCTGGCAACGGTTTCTTTCTTTTTGCAATTGATTGTGTGCTTTTCATTTTATTATGTGCCAGACAACGTTTAATCTTTCGTCATTTTATTTTTTTGTTCGTGGAAGAGTAAATAACCATCCAAAATGAAAAAGGCCTCGAGTTATTTGAGTCTTACTATTATTCTCTCAAATCTTTATGTTGTTAGATCATAAGGCTCTTCTTTGTTTTTGAACTAGGTTGATACAATGATCATCCAAGCCATTAGCTTGTTGGATGACCTTGACAAAGAGCTGAACACTTATGCAATGAGAGTAAGGGAATGGTATGGTTGGCATTTCCCAGAACTTGCAAAGATTGTACAAGACAATATCCTTTATGCCAAGACAGTGAAGTTGATGGGTAACCGAACAAATGCTGCAAAACTTGATTTCTCTGAGGTAGAGATTTAACTTCTGCACGTTCCTCTCCTCTACCCCAGCTATAAAAATAGACATGCTCGAAAATAGTGTAACAACTAGGAATAAGATTCTGTTGATGCTATGGGAGCCCTAGACTTGGAATATGATTCTGTTGGTGCTTATATGTCTTGTGAAATTGTCTATAGATACTTCCAGAGGAGGTGGAGATTGAACTAAAAGAGGCGGCCATGATTTCTATGGGAACTGAAGTTAACGACCTTGATTTGGAAAATATCAAAGATTTGTGCAACCAAGTTCTCTCACTGGCAGAATATAGAGCCCAACTGTTTGATTATTTAAAAAGCAGGATGAACACCATTGCTCCAAATCTCACTGCCCTTGTTGGTGAACTTGTTGGCGCTCGCCTTATTGCTCATGGAGGCAGCTTGTTGAATCTTGCTAAGCAACCTGGAAGTACGGTTCAGATACTTGGTGCAGAAAAGGCTCTTTTTAGAGCTCTGAAAACAAAGCATGCAACGCCTAAATATGGTCTTATATACCATGCGTCTTTAATTGGTCAAGCAGCACCAAAACACAAGGGTAAAATTTCTCGATCTCTTGCTGCCAAGAGTGCGTTGGCTATTCGATGTGATGCTCTTGGAGATGGCCAAGATAATTCTATGGGAATGGAAAATAGATTAAAGGTATTTCAGTTTCCAGATTTAGGAAAGGATATATGCTTTCTGTTTATTGTTGTTTTTTGTTAGAACTTCTTTCACGCATAATTTCTGTAGCTTGAAGCACGGCTGAGGAACTTAGAAGGCAGAGAGTTGGGTCGGTCTGCTGGATCTGCTAAAGGCAAACCCAAGATAGAATTCTACGACAAGGACCGTAAGAAGGGTTCAGGAGGATTGATCACCCCAGCCAAGGTCTCTGATTTATTTCACTTCCTTGATGCTATCATATATTTCTCTTTTGCATGCCTTAATTGACATTGTTATCTATGCAGACATACAATCCTTCAGCCGATTCAATTCTTGGGTTGACTGAACCATCGTCCCAGCAGAATGCAGACGAGGTTCCTGTTATAAATGAAGAGCAACAGAAAAAGAAAAAGAAGAGGAAGAATGCTAATGCAGAAGAAGACACTGTCAAGCCAAACGATGCAGTCAACGATACAGAACCAACTAGTGAGGCAGTCAGGAAAAAGGAAAAGAAGAAGAAAAAGCAATCAGCTGAAAATGCTGAGTTGCACAATGAAGTTGATAATGCTGAAGTGGGAGAGAAGAAAAAGAAGAGAAAACGTGCAGAGCCAGATGGAGAAGGAGAAGTTGAACCCCGCTCCAAAAAGAAAGACAAAAAGAAGAAGAAAAGCCAAGACTGATCTGTTAGAAATCTGCAAAAGCAGTACATTTGAGTTTCTTCGGCAGGTGACGTATTTTGTAAAATCGAATTCTCTGTAGCATCGATGTTGAACTTATTTTGGTTTATATCATTTTCGTAGCAGGAAGTTGGAGAACGTTTTCCAGCAATGACAATTATTACGAAAAATTTTTGGCGGCCAATTACATGCATAAGAGCTCAGCACGAGGAAAACTGCTTTTAGTTTTGAGGCATTTTGTAGATTCTGCTGCAAATTTACCGTTAAACCTGATGATAGGATCTCTTTCTTTTGGCTTCACAATGGTGAATGATTTCGTCGAAAATGTGAAACGGTCGAGAAGATATAAGCTCGATTTTGTAGCTTTACGGTTGCCTTTCAGATGATTTTATGCCGCCTGGTTTATGAACCTGGCCTTGTAACTATTTCATTTTGAAATCTCATCAACGTGTTTGGAGGGTTTTTGTGCTATTATTGATTTGAGATTTTGATCTTCATCCTATTCAAAACATTTTGGTCTTTTGGAAAATTTGATCAGCTTGTTCTTAATCTCAATAAGAGGATTCTATCGTTAGTTGAATTACAATTTTTAGGAATCAGCTACTACTATAATCTTATAAGGATTGTTTGACTTCAAAAAATAAATCTTTAATTAGGTCTTTGTTAACCTGCATGCTCTAAAATGAGAACTGTTAACATCAAGATCGCTAAATCGTAAAAAGGGCTGGCATTACGGCTAGTTTCTTCAAGTTTTTCTTGTCTAATTAGGTTATATAATGGAGATATCTTTCTTGATCTCCATGAATTTATGTGCGAATTTTGAGGGATTGATAAAATAGTTTCAATATCCAATATTTCCTACCTATAACATGACCAAGATCATATTTGAGCACTGCAGTGATCTTCACTTGTACGTTACTTGACTTTTCTATACTATCATCCGGCATCAAGGTGTTCGCTTGGTCAAAGGTTTCTTTGTCGGTAGACGAGGGTTATGCAAAGGCTAGAGGGATGACGGTGATGCCCGAGGCACAACTGCGTTCAACGCGACGAAGAAATTGCTTCCTATACGTGTCTCCCTTGTATGATCCAGTGTGCACAAAGAATAATCTTATTAGGACAGATGTGGTAGTCCAACCAAATATACGACAATTTTTTGTTGTATTTTATTGGACTAGTAATGGGTCGGGCCTCTTGAGAGTTAGCCCACAGGTGGCTTGGGCAGAGTGATGTTCGATTCGGTTTTCAACTTGGCTACGAGTTGAACTCATGGGCTTCATTGTCCGCCTACGAGCTTTATATCCTATAAAAAATTGGGAAATATTCATATATAAGAGTTTAACAATGACTCATTTCAAAACTAAGAAACGCTATTTAAAAATGAAAAAATAGATATTATTAAATTTTATTTACGAAATAATTAATTAAAAAATATTTTATTAATTAAATATATTAAGATGATAGAGCTATACAATTTGATCACAAATTATCAAATTAATTGGTTATAAATTATTTTACGATCACAAATCAAAAATTAATTTTATAAGTCGTAAATTATTTCTCATTCACAAATCAAAAATTTTATATGTCACAATTTATTCATTAGTCATAAAATCAAAATTTTATAAATCACAACTCATTTATTGATCATGAATCACAAATTTTATATGTTATAACTTATTTAACGATTACAAATTATTAAAATAATTTATCACAATTATAAATTTAGTCACAGTCACACATTCTTCAAGATCACATATTATTATTTATCACAACACTTAAATAATTGGTCACAAACACTCACCCCGACCCATCCCATTGTAACACCGCCAACCATCACCTCGTTGCCATTACTACCACAACCACATTGCCATCGATGAATCCACCACCACCTCCAGCTCTACTACCAACGAGAACCATCCAAATCTCCAACAACACCAAAACATTGAAACGATTGTCACCACTCGAACAACGAAAAAACACCACCACCACCACCACTGATCACTTCGCCATTGAACACACAACCGCACCGCACCACCATTTGAACCTACCATCACACTGCACCATCAAGTAGCTGAAATCAGCACTAGTGATGGCGAATAAGCCCGTTGGCTCGAGCGACCATGGCTTGATCCGAAAAAAGCTCGAAGCTAAGTAGATATGAGCTAAGGTTTGGGCCAAACCCAAATTTTGGGACTTAGCTCGAGCCTGGGCTGGCCTGTGAAACTCGTTGAACCTCACAGGTCAACCATGAAAATGGTTCGTGTCACAGGCTCAGCCCGACTCGTTGCCAACCTTCAATTTTTTTAAATATTTGAATATAGGATTTAAACAAATAAAGTATAACTTTCATATAAATATGCTTACATAATTAATATTCATAAATTATGCTACATCTATTCTTATAATTTATTATCATATTCATTAGTATTCTCATTATATTTTATTGATATGAATTTTAAATTTTATCATATAGGAGTGAATATTTTTAATTCTACAAATCAAGCTTCCAAATTTCGATCGAGTTTTGGCTCGGCTCGACTCGTTGACGTCTCTAATCAACATCCCCATAGAATCATCAAAACCCACCATCAAGGAGCATCGCCATCTAAACCCACCACCTAGCAACGATAATCAACAATCCCAAATCATTAAAAGAGGGCAAAAACCCATCCACACCACCATGAATCCATAGCATCTATTTAGAAAAAATCGAACTCAGGAGAAAAAAGAATAACAAATCTGTTGGTGACAAGGTGTCTGCATGGCGTTCCTATGCCATTACAGGGCGATGTCTACGTCGAAATGTAGTGATGGTCTCAAGCACATGCGACAACAACGAAATGGCATTCTGTGTTTGTAGTTGGAGAGAGAGAGAGAGAGAGGGTGTGTGGGTGCGCGTGTGTAATATAAAGATAGAGTGAGATATTAGGGTTTGGGAGGAATTTGTATATTTAGCCCCTATTTGATTCTGATTTTTCATCCTAAAAAATCAATTTTTTGATTGTTACTTTCAACGGTCATTTTTTACTTCTTCACTTAGAGATGTGACCCACTTTTCTTTCTAACGGTTAAAAAATTGATTCTCATAATCACTATCGAACAGGTCCTTAATATTTAAATTTAAAATATCTAATTTATGAATAATGAAACTTCATCCTTGTTCTTAGAATATTGATCTTTAAAAATAGGGAGTGTAATTTCTGCTAAAAAAATTTTGAGATAAATTCATCATCATACATTTTACAAAAATGGTTAAAAATTACCATATATATATTTTTTAAATACCTCATTCTCATTGAGAATCAAAGATTTTAAATTTACCTCTTATTATAATTTTTTATTATGAAAGAAATAAAAATAAAGAGAGAATAAAAGTCAATGGATTTGCTTGTATTTTATTAAGAACCAAATTTGTGTATTTATAGGAAAGAACCGGGAATACAATTGTAATAATTTTTAAGACTACAGAGGTACAATCATCATTCACTAATAAATTTACTATTTACAATACTTTCCTTGAATGACATTTTACAAAATATCTGCATTATTAAATTTTTGTTTGATAAAAATTCAATGGGACAAAAAAATCAAACAAAGGAAAAGAATATAATTATTTTGGAGTATTAAAAATGTTGCTTCATTAAATCCTTGCTAGAAATCTCGTGGGATAAAACCTAAGCAAAGAAAAAAAGTACCGTCACTTCCTTGATGTTGGTCACTTCTTTGATGTTGATAACTGAAAATCTTTGAGTCGACGCATTCTAATCTCGTGAACATTATTCTTGGATGTTGATGTGAGAATGCTTTTGTGTATAAATTAGCTATATTGTCACTGGAACAGATTTGTTGAACATCAATGTCGTCATTCTTTTGAAACTTATGTGTATGAAATTTTTTTGGAGAAATATAATTCGTCCGATCACCTTTGATATAGCCTCCTTTGAGTTGTACAATACAAGCTGCTTTGTCTCCATATAAAATTATTGGACTAATTTTTGTTGAAGTTAATTGACGTGATTCTTGGATATGATGGGTCATGTTTCTCATCCATACACATTATCTACTAGCTTTATGGATTGTAATAATTTCATAATGATTTGATGATATTGCTGTCAATGATTGTTTCACAAATCTCCATAATATAATTCGTCCGATCACCTTTGAAATAATTTCCTTTCAGTTGTGCAATACAAGCTGTATTGTCTCCATATAAAATTATTGGACTAACTTTTGTTGAAGTTAATTGACGTAATTCTTGGATATGATGGGTCATATTTCTCAACCATACACATTATGTACTGGTTTCATGGATTGCAATAATTTCATAATGATTTGATGATATTGCTGTCGAGAATTGCTTCACAGATCTCCATAATATAGTTGTTCCTCCACGTGCAAATATATATCCTGTTTATAATTTAACTTTATGTGGGTCAGAGAGATAACCTGCATTTGTATATCCCCTAAAGTAGATCCTGACTTTTGAGAACAAAATAATCTTAAATAAATAGTACCTTTCAGGTAACGAAAAATATGTTCAACACTATTTCAATATCTTTGAGTTGGTGTGGAATTATATCTTGTAATGAAATTTACAAAAATGTTATGTTGGGTCGAGTGCAGTCTGAAAGATAAGTTAATGCTCAAATTGCACTAAGATATGATACTTCAGGACCAATAATTTTTTACACATCTTCAAGTAGACGAAGTGAGTCTTTTTCACATCAAGTAATGAACAACAATAGATGATGCTAATAGATGTGCATTATCCATATAAAAGTATTTTAAGATTTTTTTATATGTAGATTAATGAACAAATAATTCTTCAAAAAATGTTTAATTTGCAATTCGAGACAATTTTTGATTTTTCCCAAATCTTTCATCTTAAATTCAATTTTCAATAGTCAACAATTTTGTTAAGCTATTCAAAAGTTCCAATTAAATTTAAACCATCAACATAAAGTTATAGACCATCACAATTGTAAATCCAATATTTATTTTCTTTATGAAAACATGGGTAGATATCATTATTTTTAGAACATTCTTTCAACAAATATTCTCCAAGGGGATTATAATACATGCGTCCCATTTGTTTTAATTCATATAATGATCTTTGCAATTTAATTGAGAACATGATTCTCGAGCATCTATCATTTGTTCCTGGCACTATATATATACTATCGAGTGAACCATACAAATTGGCAATCATTACATCCATAGGGTGCACATCGAGTCTTTATGATATGATCAAACTAATTAATAATCTAAAAATGATGATGCCCAATACGGGGGAATATATTTCCTCATGATCAATTTCTAGTCTTTGTGAGAAACGTTGAACTACGAGTTGGCTTTATATCTTATGATTTCATTATTTTCAATTCTTTTTTGTGCAAAAACTCATTTGTATCCAATGGGGATTAGATTTTCAAGTGGTCGAACTATAGGTCCAAACATTTGCCATTTCTCTAAGGAATTTAATTCCACCAATATGACTTCTTTCCATTTTGACCAATCATTTATATGTTGATAGT